GCAGCATTATTATCTTTTAGATACCCTAGCTACAAATAGATTTATTACAAGAAAAAAAGTCTTAAAATTAAGGTGAGCTGCTACATGTATGTGCAGTGGCGAAGTACTAAAAGACTAAATATCCAGAGGCCTGTTTTGTCCTTGTCTTGATAGTTAAACAATTCTCGCAACTAGTTATATAATAAATGTACAAAGACTAGTAAGGAGAACTTGCATGTTAGCTATGAGGCTAATAGATGGTTGAGGTTCAGTACTATGTGCAGACTGGCATTTATTTTGAACACTGTCCATTTTACTTCAAGTACTTTCAGTGTTCCTCAGAAATGTCATTCTCGTGCTTGTCTGTTTGTCATTGTAGCTTGAAGATGGTCACACCTTGTTTGACTATAATGTTGGACTGAATGAGATTGTTCAGTTAGTGATCAAGACAGCTATCCCAGCTACTGACAGCAACAATAATGGAAAGCCAGCTCAGGAAGAGGCAAAAAAATCAGTTGAAAAAGAATCAAATGATTCTTTCGAGAAAGCCAATGGTCATGTTTCAAATGAAGACCAGGTAATTGTATTTTAAATTGTGGAATTCTCTTGACAGGTATTGCGTTTCCTAGTGATTGACCAGAGAATTTTCTTTATTGTCATAATTTATTAATAACATATAAATGCATACAAATACAAATACACTTGTATTTGGTAAATTTGCAAAATGACCAATGAAATTAATTCTTAATTTGAATATTTGGATAGTGTCAGAATTAACATTCTCATTTAGTAATTTGGACGGTTCACAGCATGATTTAGTTAACAAGCAATACAACTACATCCTAGTCCAATTAGGACATATTTGGATTAAAAATTCCTCTTCTTTTTCTTCTTTTTTTCCTCCAATTATTTCCAAAGTGCCTATCATGTAGTCCTTTCGCACATAAAAATATGTGTGGTGGGAGCACTTGCCTCCTACCAATATAGACAAAACTCAATTCTGCCCTGGTGCCTTACATGTATGTGGGTTGAGTTTTTTGCTGGTCTTTACCTTGCGTACTTCTTTGATATTGGACATCCATGTTATGGTCAATTGATACCAGCCCAAACAAGGTATATGCTGACCAGTATTATGTGACCATATTGCAGGCTCAAGTTTAGAGCTTGTCAAGATCACATGCTTTTTGATGTTGGCCACTGACCAAGTGCTGGTTTTTCGATTGGATCATGGGTTCAAGTCAGGTTAACTTGTTGTAATTAGGGCTGGTTGTTCAGAAACCGGTTAATGCTAGCCGATGTATGTTTTCTGGTGTAAGGTCACATTATTTTTTACATAACACTTGACTTGGTATGCTAATGATTATGTTCTGTGACTAATTTTGCAAGGTGATGGAAGATGTCAACAACCAAGCAGGGACGTCAAAGGACAAAACCATCAAAAGTCGTTATAAGGTACAGTCATGTATATAGCATATTTGAAGTACAGTCCATCTTCATTTCTTTTTAATTTAGCTTGAAATTTTATCAATAGAAATAGCATTCTAATTAACTCAGAAATCCTCAGAGTTAAGAATTTTTTGGTGAAGATCATTTTGTGAACTTTGAGACAGGATTATTGTTTTTGTGAACTTTTAAGACAGGACAGGACTTTTTTTAAGATTTAAACTGTACTTGAACTTGGCAGTTACTCTGAGCAGTAGGTTTTCTGGTGTAAGGTCGGGTAAATTTTTCTTGGTACGCTAATGATTATGAATGGAAATCATATTCTTATTAGCCCATCGATGCCTTTTCTCAAGTTCTTCAGGAGGAAACGATCCTTCTCTGGTGATACCCAGATCAGAGTGATTGGGTCAATTCAGCCTGAAATATGCAGAAAAATGATAAAAAATTGGAGTGAAAAACTCAGAGTAAACTTTCCCTCAACTACAGTTGGCTACTCTCTGGTAAGAATTTTCCATCTCGATGATCCTTTCCCAAAAATTCTTGAACTGGAAGCAAGCCTAGAAGAAGGTCAACAGCTGCAGCAAAAAGATAAGAAAAGGAGAAAAAGGAGAAGTGAAAAAAAAAAAAATTACAAAACCCGAAAAGCCTAAAGGCGTAGGTCACTTTCTCAAAATTTTAATTTCTGTGCATGCCTGAGCAAAAATGTCCTAAAAAGCAATGCTAGTGGAAAGAAAGGCATGCTGTCATGTTGCACATGCCTTTTTGAGAAGATTGGAGCTAATCTGGCTCATCAAGAGAGCTTATGTTGGTAACTGGTTTTATGTGTTTTGATCTAGATGTTAAGTTTGTGGAAAAGTTGCCTTATTTTAGAATGTGTAGTACAACTTTCATTATATCCATTCCTTAATTAGTAATTTGAGTGCACTGCTTTTGGTGACACAGTTTTCTGTACTCAGAAAGGTGAAATGGTAGATGCAAAGGATCCCAGAATGGGAGCATGGTTTGAAGCCAAGGTAATGGACATTTCCTTGACAGATGAAAATGACCCAGGTTCCATCTCATACCATGTGGTTTTTGATGGGTAAGACTAAGTTCTAGATGTTATTGTGTAAAGACCAGTTGGAGCAAAAATGAAATAGCACAAGTTCACGTTTTCAACTTCAGAATTATGCCAGAGTCTTTTTTCCCTTGAAATTGCTCAATTTCGTTTATTAGCCTTAACTGATATAAGTTCAAGAATTTCACATGAAACTGCTTAATAAATAAATTTTCTAAATAATAATGTGTTTTTTTAAAGCTATGAGGAAGATGATGTGACCACAGTTCCAGAGAATTCTGTTAGACCTGTAGCAAGAACTGCTCTTATGTGGGATCAGGTAGAACAGCTCTCTTTATAGCCAGTCCTAAGTTATAAATTCTTGTTTTGGAAATGTCTCCATATTGACTAGTAATTGCTATCAATGTTGTAACTTCCATTACATTAAGGTGCTTATCTTTGTTTCTCAACAAAAATAAAAATAAAACATCAAACAGAGAAACAAACATTCTCACACACTGAATGCCATTTGTTTGTCACACAACAGTGCAACAGTACTTTACTGATATTTCTATCAACATCACATTGATAACAGAATCGGAGTCAACAACAGGAATAAACTACCCAAACGTTGATACACTTCTATAAACTATAGGCAAGAACTCGCTAAGGGGTGGGAGGGTGGGAAAGCTGTTTCACTGTCCGGAAGGAAAAAAAACTGAATCATGTGACCAAGCGTGAAACTGACATCCTGACTTGTACCCAGGTCCCCCATTCAGTGTGAGAGAACTTTGTTTCCTGCCTCTTTCGCAAGCTCAGCCGGCAGGAAAAACATAGCAAATTAATCACACTTAACTTTTCTCTATTCCTCTTGCCTTTTATGTGATGGGGTGTTATATGTACATGCTAGTGTACATGTGGGACTGGTTAGTGGAGGATTTCCAACTCTATTTTACCAGTCCTTGTAATTCATTTGTTTGATTTCCATTTTAAGATTTCAGTTGGACAAGTAGTGATGGCAAACTACAACCCCGATGAACCAGATGAGAGAGGCTACTGGTATGATGTCAAGATCACAAAAAAGGTACTAGAAATTTGGGGTTGACATAACTGTACCTCTTGTATCAACTAGTCCTGCTTGAGACCTTACAATGCACGACTTGTGAAAAAGGCAAAGACGTGTACTCTAAAATCTCAAATTTGAATTATGACTTTTGTATAGTTGTTAATTTCTATATACTCTTTACAATCAGTCAGCCAATGTTCTCCACAGATCTTAAAGTAGTCAACTAAAAATTTTAAGTAGCCAGTGCTTGCAAATTGAGTATTCATCCAAAGGATGCAATCTTCTCAAGGGGGGTTCAGGGACATGCTCTCCTAGAAAATTTTGAAAAATTATGTGGCTGGAGATGCGATCTGATGTATTTTGGGGAAACTGAGACAATTCATTCCAAGATACATTGTATGGAGCAACAGGTGCGAAGAGACTTGGTCTGACTTTCAACATGGCTGCCGTGTTTACTGTTGATTTAATTAGCAACCCTCCGCAACTAGCAGTGAAATGTGACCTCATGAAAATCTACCCTCTCTTTAAGTGAATGTTGCCTTCTGAAAGCTATTAGAGTTGTCATAGACTTGACAATCACCCTGGGATGAAGTTGTTGTAAACAAACCAGCAAATTTAACATCGCGCGATTGAACAGCTGATCGGTCGGCAATCACATGGTGATGCATGTAAATTTTGATGTCTTGTGTGATCTATTACTGAACAGATGCACAGCGGCATGGAATCTATAGATAGAATAGTTATGTGAGAGCAACAAGCGAAAACACTGGCAATTATGGAGGCAGACTGCATCTATGTACTCTGATTTGTGCTAAGTTTGGATCCAACATATATCGTGCCACGTACATTGCTTGGCAACCTCACTTTCAGCTGGAGCACATACCTTTTTTCAGAGTCTATTCTAATATTCTATTGGAGTATTTTTATGTATGGGTAACCCGGGGGCAAAAGAAGCATTAAATGGATCTGTGTTCTCCAGATCCAAGCAGACCAAGATTCAGCAACCTTTTGCAGCTGCCCTATCATACCTGTCTTCACCCTTGGTGCTAACACAACATAGTATCAGACAAGAGCTACACAACAGTCTTTGCTAGCAAAACCATAGCACCCAACTTCAACCACATAGACACACTCACCAGTAGACCTCTCACTAATTCTAATTGTTTTCTTTATTATATACTTATTTCAATAGTATGATGGTCTAACAAGAAATACCAGAGAGCTGTATGCCAGATTACTGTTAGGGTAAGTAAGATATTAAATAATTTCTATTAGGGGTTCTTTGGAGCTTTATAATTTTCTTTTGGATTGTCTGGACTGGACTGCAGAAATTCAATGCCAACTTTTAATCCCAGAGAGAAATCCTTATTACTAATATTATAGTCTGTTCAGATAATTTTTCCTGTAAAATTTTTCTTCTGGGCCATTTGCCAAGCAATTCACAATACCTAACCATCTGAAAAATAAAAGCCATTGGGTATGTCAATGTAAATGAATATTATGATTGAGGGACAGAGATGTTATCTTAGATGGTGTGAGAGTTTGTAAAGGATACAGATCAGATGTATAAGGGCACTTTTTGTAATAGTTTCTTATAATGTGGTCCATGAAATAATGCTGTGTGCAGAGCAGGCTTTAACATAGCTTTTGTTCCATTTTTTTGATGGAAGAACAAACACAGAGGATACAGTCGCTCAGGAATTTAGACTCAAATTCATAGACAAGGAAATATTCAAGATCGAAAGTCCTCCAGGTAAAAATTTTACCTTCTAACCCCTGTGCTGGTATCTAAACAGTGTTCATAGCCATGTAATAATATCAATGTTGATGTTAATATGGAGGCTCAAGTTCCTGTGCAACAAATTCCATTAGTCTTGAGTTTTCATTTCATCTATTCTAGTGTGCAATTTATGATGAACTGTAAGACTGATGTTTTGTTTTTTTGTTAAGTACATGTATAGTGCAAAATTCAATTCAGTTTGCTTTGTCTTATGCTCAGATCCAAGCAGTTCAGAAGAACCTTCAAGCTCAGCAAATGGGTCATCTTCACCAGCTAAGAGTATGACTGTAAAACTTTGATTGACATTCAATTTGTGCATACAGATACTTGCAGATCTACACTATTAAAAACATGATAAATGCACAAAACAATGAAGGATTTGCAGGCCTTAAATTGTCTGTGTTGATTTTACTTAAAGTGTATATGACATAATTTTTATTTGCTTAAAGCAATAGCATAGATCAACAGATCTTTCAAACCAATTAGCAAATAGAAATGAAAAAGTGAGTGAAATATACCAGTTTATTAGATACTCTCACATAGTTCCAATAGGCCCTTTGCAGGATCCGGTCACATGGTACGGAATTAATTACGCTGGGACGCAAGTTACACAGTGGGACTTCCAAAACAAAGGAACTCGTACCAGTCCAGCCCGACTTTCCTTTGTTTTGGAAGTCCCACTGTGTAACTTGCGTCTCAGGGTAATTAATTCTGTACCATGTGACCGAATCCTGCAAAGGGCCTATTTTGGTTCAGAATTTTATGAGAGACGTAGACCTTCTTTGTTCCAGAAGCAAAATTTCATGTTTTCAGATGGCTAAAGCGCAGTGAGGAAAAAATGATATCCATGTTTTTCTGGTTCATATCATAACCTCATGCGGATTACATCAAGCAAAATGTAGATATGTGTATGTAATAATTATACACTGAAAGTAAATAGTTGCAAGTAACAAGGGCAGAGTAATACACAAAAATTATGAGAGAAGGAGGCTGGTACAATATTATGTTAAGAAAAATATGTTTATATGTTGCTACAACACTGCTAAGTATACTTACATTTATGCTGTTATCCATATAAAGGGCAAGTGAAACCTGACTGTAGTCATTGTAAAGATGATCCCAAGAAATTATGCAAACATTGTGCATGCCATAAGGTACCATACATGTCATAGAATGTATTCAGTTAATACAGTGTTATCAATGGGTAAGCATTATTTAACAGCAGGAACTTTAAGGAAGTTGTAAACAGGTAGTTAAAGTTAAACTGCATTTTTTGCTCTTAAAAGCGAGTATAATTGCTTTAAAAGGGCTTGGACAGGTATAATTTCCTAGCTTGACACATAAAGCTTGAAATTTTTTCAGGCTTTATTTTTGCAACTGTCAAAGTTGTGTAGATAATTGTGATGACTTAACAATAACAATAACAATAACATTTATTGTTATGACTTCTCATGTATTTTAATTTTTCTCCACAGTTCAAATATATGAGCTAGTGGATTGATATATTGTTTGACACTGATCATGATGTAACTTTACTTTATATTTTCATTATTCATGACTTCATTTATGAACCAAGATCTTTCAAGCCAGATTAGAGTTACAAAATCAATATAATTCATATTTTGATTGCATGTTGTAGTGTGGTGGAAAAGAAAACCCAGGAGACCAGCTTCTGTGTGATGAATGTGACTTGGCTTATCACATCTACTGTTTAACTCCACCACTGACAAAAATCCCTGAGGATGATGAATGGCAAGTGTTTGTTTGATGTCACATGCATTTGATTTCCTGATATTTTAATGTATGAAGAAGCTGTTACCCTGAGTAATCCAATAATTTATGGTAAAATGCTATTTGCAGGTTTTGCCCTTTGTGTAAGAATGATACATCAGAGGTAAGGCTAATGCTAAACCTGTCTGCTAGTTAAGGCAGATCATGCACACTAAAGGCATCTGCAGTTGAGTGTTGATCGATACCCTCTCAATCAATGCTCTTTCAACGTCCTGATCAATACTTGATTGACAGTTGATCGACACTTGATCAACAGTGGGTTGATAGTCGGCCAAGCATTGACCGACTCATATGGATCAATCAAATGTTAGATGACTCTTGACCATCTGTCAACTGAGATGTTGATGGAGTGTCTTTCGAGTGTTGACTGAGGTGTCGATGGAGTATCAATTGTGTGTTGATCAAGGGTTGATCTAGGGTTTGGGTATCTATCGACACGACCGCAGATGGCTTTAGTACACATGATCTGTTAAGGTCATTCCTCACATTTGCATTGTGCATCCTTACTGTGCATAATTTATGGCGTCATTAGCGCGCGCTTGTGCACGTGCATATTGAAAACATGACGAATTTGCCTTGATATTGAGCTCTGTCAGTTGAAAAATGGCTCTAGCTCACCAGTGAGCATGGGCACCCCAATTTTTTTCCAGTCGTTGTAATCAACTAATCATAAGCTTTGCGTGAGAAAAGACTGATCTAATTTCTATTGCTGAAAATTGAA